TGAACCATGAAAAACAGCCCCAGACCATTATTCCTCCTCCACCAAACTTTACAGTTGGCACTATGCATTCGGGCAGGTAGCGTCCTCCTGGCATCCGCCAAACCCAGATTCGTCCGTCGAACTGCCAGATGGTGAAGCGTGATTCATCACTCCAGAGAACGCATTTCCACTGCTCCAGTCCAATGGTGACGAGCTTTACACCACTCCAGCCGACGCGTCGCATTGCGCATGGTGATCTTAGGCTTGTCGGCGGCTGCTCGGCCATGGAAACCCATTTCATGAAGCTCCTGCCGAACAGCTTTGTGCTGACGTTGCTTCCAGAGGCAGTTTGGAACTCGGTAGTGAGTTTGACGAACTGACTTGTTGGAAAGGTGGTATCCTATGACGGTGCCATGTTGAAAGTCACTGAGCTCTTTAGTACTGGCCATTCTACTGCAAATGTTTGTCTATGGAGATTGCATGGCTGTGTGCTTGATTTTATACACTGGTCAGCAACGGGTGTGGCTGAAATAGCTGAATCCACTAATTTGAAGGGGTGTCCACATAGTAGTGTATCTAACATGGTCTCAGATGGGGTGTCCGACTGTCTGCTCACATTATCACCATTAAGTACAGCCAAGTGAATCAAACCCGAGAATGTAGTGTTTGGTTGGGTGTATAAGATGGCGTGCATTAAAAAGATAAAGCACCAATTATGTTTTTATTGGGCGATACGGTAAAAGAACAACAACAAATGACTGCAGTGAAGTGAATACTGATACGGTGCCATGCCCTTAGACCACTATTAATTACAGACACTATTCTAAAGATAGGAATTTCTACATCAAGACACCTTCATACATCCAAACTACATGTGTTGTGGGAGGCATTCTCAATGTCTTATGTTACTCCCCTCCTTAAGAGCTGAGAGGAACAGGTCTTTAATAATTACCTAATTTGCATTCATATTACATTCTTTAATAGAGTGAAAAAAGACATGAGCAGTGACATAATTTCACCCGCACTTTGGCCCCGTCCCCCTGCTCAGACGATGCATGCATCAACCAATGGTTGTGTGCCACGTCATCCACTGTGCTGTCTGGCACCAGATTGCTATAACATATGTGGTTTGCTGATACGTATAACACCTATCTAGTTGTAAGATCTGGCATGCGTCTGCAGTCTGAGCAGAGGAACAGAACCAGAACTTTCTCTGCATGTTTGATACCCCTCCCCTATATCAGAAGTAGATTTCCCCCAGTCTCACCCTCCCATCCCTAGACTGTGATTGATGTGGACGGATGCTGAAGGATGTCCTGCCTGTATTCCAGGGGCGGGCTCAGACACCCAGGCCCCTGGGGGTAGACGCCGCAGGCTAGCCCCAGGTTTGGGTCCCGGCCTAACAAAGGCATCAAACTGGGCCAAGGTAATCCAGCCATACAACCAATCAGAATACAGTACAATGGCTATAAGTATGTAATGCACCAGTTATAAAGTATGCAGCGTTTTTAACGTAGATGCCATTGGTACGATGTATATAGAGTCCCAGTGTGTATTCTGTCTGAATAATGGGAGCTGCCTGTGTCAAGGGAAACAAATAGGTTCTCATGTATTACATGCTTACACATTCCAAAGAAGGTTCAGTTTGAGACAAGGCCAACACATAAGATAAGACATCCCAAAAAACATACAAGGTGTTTTCTCCTAAAATAGGGAGGTTTTAGTGGCTGAATGGTGGGAGTGAAGGGGGAGATGGTTCTCAGGATATGTGAGAATGTTCAGTGGCTGCATCAATACAGGCGCCAAATATGAAGACAGATGGAGGTATGTAAAAACAACAGTACAACACCCACATTTTTTTCACCTCTCTTTTCAGTTAGTTTATTTTTTCAATTGCTTAATAAAAAAATAATAATTGATGACCAACCACAAATTCTACAGCTCATCATCTGTGCACCGTCTGGCTGGTTGTCTAGCTCGCCTCCCTGGAGTAACCACGCCTCCCTGGAGTAACCACGCCTCCCTGGAGTAACCACGCCTCCCACCTCATTCCGTCTCCCTTGTTCCATCTCCCTCGTTCCAATGTGAATGAGATTCAAATGGGGGTGCGTTGCATTCAATAGTCGGGTAGGTCACGTGACCTAAAGGTCAAGGGTCAGAGGGCCCCGGGAGGCCCAGTGTCACAGATGAGGAAGGACCCTGTTGTGTTTGAGTCGCTCCTTTGCATATGGAACTGGAATCACCCAATAGCGTTATAGCATTGTTTCCAATCTAAAATATCATAGTAATACCACACTTACCAGGCAAGAGATCATCGGTATCACAATGGTTTCAGTCACTGAAAATCTAAACCCATTGATAAAATCAAAACTAAATGAACATTTTAAATACAAACCTCAAATAAAACCAAAAAATGAAATAAATAAAATCACCTCATAGGTAGGCGCACACTTAGACGGATGGGTTTGTATAGATCTCCCAATTGATTATATATTTTTAAATTCAAGACCCTCCTATTGACTTGGGTGTGTGACTACCTTAAAGATTTGGATTCTTGATGCAAGACAGAAAATAAATCACACAAAACTGCCCAGAGAGATTCAATTCAATGGGAAATCATCAGGAGCTAGTAACACTAGTAGTACTAGGACTGACAGACTGCCCCAGACAGAGCAGTTGATTCAACATGAGCTGAAGCCATAGTAAGAACACATGGAAAGGTCACCTCCTATCCACACAACCCCAACCCTATACAACCCTATAGCTAATCATCATCGGTGCGTCCCAATAACATCTCCTTTCTCCTGAAGTGTACACTCGTTCACTACCTCCCACAAATCTAAAAGCATTGGATTGGTGGATGTATGGGCTAGATCATAGCTCTTATACCAGTCATTTCCTTTAAAATCAGTGGAGGGAAGTGAACAAGTGCACACTTTGGGAGGAATGATCAATAATTAGGACGTAACCATAGTCACTGTTTGCACCATGCCCCCCCTAGCGCTCGCTCTGTTGTCTTAAACACTGGTATATACTGTATAGTGGATTACATATAGCCCATCAAATGACAGAATAATGATTGGGTTGGTATACGTCAATATCGTGGTAAACACATTTTCAGAAGCCAGCGTAATGCAAATCACATACTAGCTACCTACATTATCTCATAAAAAGACATTTTTTTTATAATCTGTAAAATAACACAGAATATAAGGAAAGATTTCATCATCATACGAAGACTTGCAAAATGGCTGCTTGAACAGGAGGAAGCAGTTTTTATCATGCTCTTTTCATCCTCCTCTGAAAGGAGCTACATTTAATTTTGCAGGAAATTATAAACTCAAATTCGGTGACTCAGTCTCGGCAACCACTCTCTATCTCTTAGCCTTCTCTTTCAAAACAACAAGGACGCAACTCTATAAATGTAGTATTATAGTTAACAAGGCCACTAGTCTGGCGGACTTCAAACCAAATCACTTCTATGATTCTTCCTTCTAACCAAACCTTCCCTCTTAGTCTAGTCAACCAACCTCTCAGACCTACTGAGGATCTTTTAATGCAAGTACCCATTACCACTGTTAAAATGTGTTTGCTATTTTATCTTTTTGATAAAATAATCGCCTTAAAACCGTGCAAAACAAATCAAACCTGTGCAATAGGTCTACCCTAAAATATTCCATAATCATACATATATATTTTTTACACCTGATTTAAAAGAAATAATATAATAATAATGATGATGACAGTAATAATATTAATACAGAAGGTAACACAAGCATGGACAAGCACGGCTTGACAGAGGAAATTAAACCCCTCCCAAAAGGACAATGACAACAAAGTCGCTTGATGCTTCTCTGTTTGCTGCAAGTCTCCCCCACAGCAGCCCCACGACGGACCAAGTGCCCCCTCTGTCGGGGGCCTGGCTGGGTTAGGGTTAGCCTGGGTTGGAGGATGGGTTGGCCTGTGTGTGTCTTGCAGCCAGCACACTGAGTCTTCTTCCAGTAGCCATCTGCCAGCAAGCCAGCCAGCCAAAACAGGCCAGGCCCAGTGTCCCAGTGTCCCAGCCACACAAAGGGCCTCTGGCAGGGGACAAAAGCAGGCCTGTCCATGTGACCTGGCCCAGAATGGGGAGGGAGGGCCGCCTGGGGGGGGAGGGAGGGCCGCCTGGGGGGGGGAGGGAGGGAGGGAGGGAGGGTTGGGTAGGGAGGGTCGCCTGGGGGGGGGGGAGGGAGGGCCGCCTGGGGAGGGAGGGTTACCTGGGCAGGGATGGAGGCCTGGGGAGAGAGGGAGGCCTGGAGAGGGGACACCCCAGAGGGAGGCATGGTCCCCCAGCCAGCCAGCCACACAGGCCCCGGGGTGGAAGGGGTCTCGGTCTAGGGCTGAGAGGAGGAGGAGAGACAGAGGACAAAGAAACAGATAGGAGGGCGGGTGGTTGGCACACAAGCACAAAAGAGATAGAGAATGAAGTCCGTCTGGACACCCCCTTCTCTTTTTAACCTCTGAGGAGACCCTCTGTTCCCCAGAGACAGGCGGCTGATGCCCGACCCTGTCCCCCACAAACCCCTCCCTCTCCGCGCCTCACCACCACTCTTTGTTCTCCTCCCCTCTCAATAGCCACAGCCACACCCCCACCGTTGGAGCAGGCAGCATGGCCACAGCCACACCCCCACCGTTGGAGCAGGCAGCATGGCCACAGCCACACCCCCACCGTTGGAGCAGGCAGCATGGCCACAGCCACACCCCCACCGTTGGAGCAGGCAGCATGGCCACAGCCACACCCCCACCGTTGGAGCAGGCAGCATGGCCACAGCCACACCCCCACCGTTGGAGCAGGCAGCATGGCCACAGCCAGTCTTTTTAGTTCTGTGTTTAGTGTTTGTCTTGTTTATGCATGGTTTCAAGTCTGTCCGTCTGTCCGTCTTGCCACTTGTCCCATCCCCAAACCGTAACCTAAACCCCGACGGCCTCCTAGCCGTCAACCCAGTTCAGGCCTCCCTGTGTCAGACAAGTGGACCTTTTATTTAACCAGGAAGTCTTTTGAGATAAAATGTATTTTTCAAGAGAGACCTGAAGACCTGTGAGCCTAGAGCCTGGGTCTGGGGCCTGGAGCCTGGGTCTGGGGCCTGGAGCCTGGGTCTGGGGCCTGGAGCCTGGGTCTGGGTCTAGGCCTGGAGCCTGGGTCTGGGCCCTGGGCCTGGAGCCTGGGTCTGGGGCCTGGAGCCTGGGTCTAGGCCTGGAGCCTGGGTCTGGGTCTAGGCCTGGAGCCTGGGTCTAGGCCTGGAGCCTGGGTCTGGGCCTGGAGCCTGGGTCTAGGCCTGGAGCCTGGGTCTGGGTGGCTAGGTGGTGGTGAGCTTCTGAATGGTCCTGTTGTAGTACTGTGTGGTGAGGGCCTCCAGAGGGGTCCAGTGGTGGGCGTGGAGCTCAATGACCTCCATGAGGAGGGAGCGGGTCAGCTGGGACTCGGCCGGACACAGCATCTTGTCCCTGGCTGTGGCAAGGAGCTCCGTCATCATCTCTGGAAGCTGCTCCTCCAGGAGACGACCTGTAGACTGCAGCTGGAGGAGAAGAGGGAGGGAGGAAGGAGGAGAGTAAGAGGAGGAGAGGGAGGGGGGTTAGGAGGTGGAGAGAGGTGAGTCAGGGGTTACGTCTAGCCATCTGAATATTAAGCAGGCTAGTCAGAAGAGTTGGATAGCTTCAGAGTGGGGGTGTCTGTCTGTCAGAGAAGGGTTGGATAGCTTCAGAGTGGGGGCGTCTGTCTGTCAGAGAAGGGTTGGATTGCTTCAGAGTGGGGGCGTCTGTCAGAGAAGGGTTGGATAGATTCAGAGTGGGGGTGTCTGTCTGAGAGACGGGTTGGCTAGCTTCAGAGTGGGGGTGTCTGTCTGTCAGAGACAGGTTGGATTGCTTCAGAGTGGGGGCGTCTGTCAGAGAAGGGTTGGATAGATTCAGAGTGGGGGTGTCTGTCTGAGAGACAGGTTGGCTAGCTTCAGAGTGGGGGTGTCTGTCTGTCAGAGAAGGGTTGGATAGCTTCAGAGTGGGGGCGTCTGTCTGTCAGAGAAGGGTTGGATAGCTTCAGAGTGGGGGGCGTCTGTCTGTCAGAGAAGGGTTGGATAGATTCAGAGTGGGGTGTCTGTCTGAGAGACGGGTTGGCTAGCTTCAGAGTGGGGGCGTCTGTCTGTCAGAGACAGGTTGGATTGCTTCAGAGTGGGGGTGTCTGTCAGAGAAGGGTTGGATAGCTTCAGAGTGGGGGTGTCTATCAGTCTGATGGACGGGCCTGGTTAGCTAGCTTCAGAGTGGGGGTGTCTATCAGTCTGATGGATGGGGCTGGTTGGCTAGCTTCAGAGTGGGGGTGGGGTGTTAGTTGTGGCAGGTAGGGGGCACGCTCTTTAACGTATGTCTGTCTCGGAAGGATGGAGTCCTCTCCTCTCCTCCCCAGCCCTCCTCTCCTCTCCTCCCCAGCCCACCCCTCATCTCCTCTGATCTCCAGCCCTCCTCTCCTCTCCAGCCCTCCTCTCCTCTCCTCCCCAGCCCTCCTCTCCTCTCCTCCCCAGCCCTCCTCTCCTCTCCTCCCCAGCCCTCCTCTCCTCTCCTCTCCTCCCCAGCCCTCCTCTCCTCTACTCCCCAGCCCTCCTCTCCTCCCCACCCCTCCTCTCCTCCCCAGCCCTCCTCTCCTCTGATCTCCAGCCCTCCTCTCCTCTGATCTCCAGGCCTCCTCTCCTCTGATCTCCACCCTCCTCCCCTCCCCTCCCCTCCCCAGCCCTCCTCTCCTCTGATCTCCAGGCCTCCTCTCCTCTGATCTCCACCCCTCCTCCCCTCCCCTCCCCAGCCCTCCTCTCCTCTCCTCCCCTCCTCTCCTCTGATCTCCAGCCCTCCTCTCCTCTCCACCCTCCTCTCCTCTGGATCTCCAGCCCTCCTCTCCTCTGATCTCCAGCCCTCCTCTCCTCTGATCTCCACCCTCCTCCCCTCCCCAGCCCTCCCCTCTCCTCCCCTCCCTCCCTCTGATCTCCAGCCCTCCTCGTCCTCTCCATCCCCCTCTCCTCTGATCTCCAGCCCCTCCTCTCCTCTCCTCTCCTCTCCACCCCTCCTCTCCTCTGATTTCCAGCCCTCCTCTCCTCTCCAGCCCTCCTCTCCTCTCCTCCCCCAGCCCTCCTCTCCTCTGATCTCCAGCCCTCCTCTCCTCTGATCTCCAGCCCCTCCTCTCCTCTCCTCCCCAGCCCTCCTCTCCTCCCCAACCCTCCTCCTTCCTCCTCCTCTCCTCCCCAGCCCTCCTCTCCCTCTCCTCCCCAGCCCTCCTCTCCTCTCCTCCCCAGCCCACCCCTCATCTCCTCTGATCTCCATCCCTCCTCTCCTCTCCAGCCCTCCCTCCTCTCCTCCCCAGCCCTCCTCTCCTCTACTCCCCAGCCCTCCTCTCCTCTACTCCCCAGCCCTCCTCTCCTCTCCTCCCCCAGCCCTCCTCTCCTCCCCACCCCCCCTCCTCTCCTCCCCAGCCCTCCTCTCCTCTCCACCCCTCCTCTCCTCTGATCTCCAGCCCTCCTCTCCTCTGATCTCCAGGCCTCCTCTCCTCTGATCTCCACCCCTCCTCCCCTCCCCTCCCCTCCCCAGCCCTCCTCTCCTCTGATCTCCAGGCCTCCTCTCCTCTGATCTCCACCCCTCCTCCCCTCCCCTCCCCAGCCCTCCTCTCCTCTCCCTCCCCCTCCTCTCCTCTGATCTCCAGCCCTCCTCTCCTCTCCATCCCTCCTCTCCTCTGATCTCCAGCCCTCCTCTCCTCTGATCTCCAGCCCTCCTCTCCTCTGATCTCCACCCCTCCTCCCCTCCCCAGCCCTCCTCACCTCTCCTCCCCTCCTCTCCTCTGATCTCCAGCCCTCCTCTCCTCTCCATCCCTCCTCTCCTCTGATCTCCAGCCCTCCTCTCCTCTCCTCTCCTCTCCACCCCTCCTCTCCTCTGATTTCCAGCCCCTCCTCTCCTCTCCAGCCCTCCTCTCCTCTCCTCCCCAGCCCTCCTCTCCTCTGATCTCCAGCCCTCCTCTCCTCTCCTCCCCAGCCCTCCTCTCCTCCCCAACCCTCCTCTCCTCTCCTCCCCAGCCCTCCTCTCCTCCCCAGCCCTCCTCTCCTCCCCACCCCAGCCCACCCCTCCTCCCCACCCCAGCCCACCCCTCCTCTCCTCCCCAGCCCTCCTCTCCTCCCCACCCCCTCCTCTCCTCCCCACCCCCAGCCCTCCTCTCCTCTGATCTCCAGCCTCCCTCCTCTCCTCTCCTCCCCAGCCCTCCTCTCCTCCCCCCCCCTCCCCTCCTCTCCTCCCCAGCCCTCCTCTCCTCCCCACCCCATTCCACCCCTACTCTCCTCTCCTCCCCCAGCCCTCCTCCCTCCCCACCCCTCCTCTCCCTCTCCTCCCCAGCCCTCCTCTCCTCCCCAGCCCTCCTCTCCTCTGATCTCCAGCCTAGCTCCAGGCTCTAGTCTCTAGTCTCTAGTCTGTAAACTAGGACTCTGGGAGTTTCAGACTCTGTTCTTAGCCTCTACACTACCTCAGAGTCACACTCTATAATTCATGCTGAGACAGAAGATTCCTTCACTACATCCAGACAGACAGAAAACAGCCTGACTACAACTGGCCTGGGCTGAATAACATACATAGTGTATACTGCATGCATTTTGTTCTATTCATATACAAAGGACCTATGTGTACCGTAATTGGCTCCAGTGAAGATGGGAGTGTATTGGTGTACAGGATAGAATATGAAGAGTACATACCTCCATAGAACAGCAGAGGACTGCATCCTCCTTAACCTCCGGAGACTGCAGCAGCTGCAACAAACAGAGATAGCAGAACAGATATGATGAGAGATACAGTATTTGTATATTCTTTATTTATGTCTAGAGCTCAGAATAAAGCTGCAGAGTGTTGGAGTTACAAAGATACACCCACAGCAGAGATGGGTACTGTACTGTACTGTACTGTTCTGTTACTATTCTGTTACTGTTCTGTATGACGAGTGTTTGTCTCTTTTCCCTGCCGGGGTTTTAATGACAAACAGGGGCAGCTCTTTTTCTTTCAGCCCAGGGGAAAGAGGGGAAAGAGAAAAAAGAGGGGAAAAGGAAAAGAGACACAGAGAGAGAGGCCCCGAGAGGGGAGGAGGGAGAGAGGGGACAGGGAGACAAAACACAGAGAGACAGAGGAAAAAGAAAGAGAGACAAAGGGGGAAGAAAAAAAGAGAAAAGAAAAGAAAGAGAAGAACACACAGAGAAAAATTCTGAGGGGAATTTTTAAATTTTTAAATATTTTGTTTTTTTAACTTTTTTTTACATTACTTCCCGGGGTTTTTGGGAAATGTAACAAAAAACGTTTCCCATGCCAATAAAGCCCAAATGAATTGAAATTTGGAAATTGAATTGAAGAGAAAAAGAGGGGAAGAAAGGAGAGAGAGAGAGGAGAGAAAAAAGAGAGGGGAGGAGAAAAAACCACCGGACAAAGAAGAGGACAACCGCAGAAAAAAGACAAAAAGGAACCGAGAAAGAGACAGAAGGGGAGAAGACAGACCAGAAAAGATGAGAGAGAGGGAGGAGACAAAACAAGAGAGAAAATGAGAAAATGGGATAAGAGAAAAGAGAGACCAAAGAGAAAGAGGAGAGAGAGAAAAACAACACCAGAAAAAGAGAGAGAAAAAAGAAAAAAGAAAAAGAGAGGAATAAGAGAAAAAAAGAGACAACCAACAAGGGGGAGAGAGACAGAGAGAGAGAGACCGAGACAGACACAGAGACAGAGAGACAGACACAGAGAGGGAGACACAAGAGAGACAGAGAGCGAGAGAGCAAGAGACCTGGCTCTCAAGATAAGACAGGCTATGTGCACACAAAATGAGGTGGAAACTCCAGAGGGGTCCAGTGGTGCATGGTGAGCTACGAGTCATAGCAGGAAAATAATGGTGCATGGTACGTAGTGCTTAAGAAGAAGTGAGTTAAGTACGCAAATTCCATGCTGAAACAGTTTGCATCCCAAATGGCACCATATTCCCTATATAGTGTACTACTTTTGATCAGGGCCCACAGGGTGCTGGTCAAACGTAATGCATTATAAAGGGAATAGGATGCCATTTGAGACACATCCAGAGATATTTTTCCCACACTAAAGACCACTAAGAGTGAAGTGGTTGGTGCATTAGGTCTAAGCTGCTCAACCAATCCATGGCCAGCCCTCACAGAGACATTAACCTTTCACCTCTGGGGGATTTGTGTGGGTGGGAGCCAGGGTGATGGGGCCGCAGTGTCCCGGGATAATTGCTTTCCTAACTTAAACATTGCCAGTTCACCCAAACAAAGAGATTCCACACGGGAAGGGAACATCCTTCATGAGCCGTGCAGAGAAGAAAAAGAAGCAGAAGAAGTGTGGTGATTGGTCAGAAAACCACCAAGGATGAGAAGGTTGGGCTGTGGTGGCAGAAACAGAGGGTGACGAGCTATTTTGTGTCCCAAGGAAATTCATTTTGTACCAGAAAACACATCCTAATGTTGTATGTTTTATTTTGGTGGGTGCTTATATTTGTCCCATTTCACACATGTAATCACATGTAATTGTGCCCTTGCCAAGGCCCAAGGGATGAACTCAAAGCCTTGCTCTAGCTAGCTACTGGGCTTTATGAAACTCAAAGCCTTGCACTAGCTAGCTACTGGGCTTTATGAAACTCACAGCCTTGCACTAGCTAGCTACTGGGCTTTATGAAACTCAAAGCCTTGCACTAGCTAGCTACTGGGCTTTATGAAACTCAAAGCCTTGCACTAGCTAGCTACTGGGCTTTACGAAACTCAAAGCCTTGCACTAGCTAGCTACTGGGCTTTATGAAACTCAAAGCCTTGCACTAGCTAGCTACTGGGCTTTATGAAACTCAAAGCCTTGCACTAGCTAGCTACTGGGCTTTATGAAACTCAAAGCCTTGCACAGGCTACTGGGCTTTATGAAACTCAAAGCCTTGCACTAGCTAGCTACTGGGCTTTATGAAACTCAAAGCCTTGCACTAGCTAGCTACTGGGCTTTATGAAACTCAAAGCCTTGCACTAGCTAGCTACTGGGCTTTATGAAACTCAAGTCGGCAGGAGAGACTAGCTTGGTGTAACTATGTGCCAGAACAAACACACATTACGCCCCATCGGTAGAGATGCCTGGGGAGCCGGTAGCTCGCTTGGCACTAACCTTGGCATGTCCCTCAGGGTCGCCCCCTGGGCGGGGAGGTGAAAGCTGTGTCTATATCTGAAATGGCACCCTATTTTCCTATACAGTGCACTACTTTTGACCAGGGCCCATGGGTCACTACTTTCAGATGCAGGCTGTATCTCCTAGCTTGGCCCTAGCTCAACCCTGAGGGAATTACTTGGCTGCCTTCGAACAGATGGTCTGGGCCTCATCACTCCATACTGTGCCACGCTGCAGCACAGCGCCAAGACACCACTAAGCCTACCCTCCCTGAGCTCAGCTCCTGCAGTTTGTCTGTGTGCGTGTGTGTGAGTTTGTCTGTGTGTGTGTGTGCTAGAGAGAGGAGCATCAAACAGGATAGAGAGAGGAGCATCAGACAGGATAGAGAGGAGCATCAGACAGGATAGAGAGAGGACATCAGACAGGAAAGAGAGAGGACATCAGACATGATAGAGAGAGGACATCAGACAGGATAGAGAGAGGACATCAGACAGGATAGAGAGAGCAGCATCAGAAAGGATATAGAGATGACAGACAGGACAGAGAGAGGACATCAAACAGGATAGAGAGAGGACCATCAGACAGGATATAGAGATGACATCAGACATAATAGAGAGGAGCATCAGACAGGATAGAGAGAGGAGCATCAGACAGGATAGAGAGAGGACATCAGACAGGATAGAGAGAGGACATCAGACAGGATAGAGAGAGGACATCAGACAGGATAGAGAGAGCAGCATCAGAAAGGATATAGAGATGACAGACAGGACAGAGAGAGGACATCAAACAGGATAGAGAGAGGACCATCAGACAGGATATAGAGATGACATCAGACATAATAGAGAGGAGCATCAGACAGGATAGAGAGAGGAGCATCAGACAGGATAGAGAGAGGACATCAGACAGGATAGAGAGAGGAGCATCAGACAGGACAGAGAGAGGACATCACACAGGACAGAGAGAGGAGCATCAGACAGGATAGAGAGGAGCATCAGACAGGATAGAGAGAGGAGCATCAGACAGGATAGAGAGAGGTCATCAGACAGGATAGAGAGCAGCATCAGAAAGGATAGAGAGATTACATCAGACAGGATAGAGAGAGGAGCATCAGACAGGATAGAGAGAGGACCATCAGACAGGATATAGAGACGACATCA